TCTTCCTTTGTTGACATGAGGATCACCCCTTTCACATGGGGTGACCTTCAACATCATGTGTGTGAATGCTCTATTTCCTTGCATTGTGCAAAAGTCTACGGTAACGCGTAGTCATTGGAGCTTCGGAGATTGTTCTACCACTATTGCTTGATTGAGATGTACCCTCAGGGTGAACTCCCAAGGTATCGTATCCATTTGCATGAACTTCGGTATTGGTAGGGGTGGGGTATGGAGAAAAGTTTCCTTGATTAGCGTTGAGGGACCTCCGTGTCCCTTAGCCTTCTCTTTGGCTTGTCTGTCCGCCTTTTTCTCTGGGCAATCTCTTATTACGTGATCCTCTTGATCACAGTAAAAACACCTCCTCGTGTTGTCCTGTCTGGACTGTGAACGCCCTCTGTTTTTACTTCTTCCTCTACCTCTGCCCCTTTCTCTATCTCTGCCTCTACTTTCTGTGACAAGGGCATGGGACTGCTCTCCTTCTATCTCTTTCTTCCTTGCCTCCTCGTTGAATAAGGCGTCTGTGACCATTCCCATGGTCAGCTTCCCTTCGGGTGCAGAATTACTGAGAGAAACCACCAACGTCTCCCAGCTGTCTGGTAAGGAACTGAGTAATAATAATGCTTGCATCTCATCCTCCAACTCCATTTTGATTGATGCAAGCTGGTTCACAAGGCTGTGGAATTCACTGGTGTGTTCAGCAACAGACACACCATTCTTCAGCTTCAGGTTTATAAGCCTTTTCATTATCAAGGCTTTGTTCCGTGCGGTCTTGGACTGGTACATGCCCTCCAATTTCATCCATAGGGCATAGGCGTCTGTCTCTTGGGCAACATGGTGGAACACACTGTGGTCAATCCACTGTCTGATTTGACCGACAGTCTTCCGGTTATTTTTTATCCAGTCCACATCCTTGTCTCCATTTGGTTTGACCCCCTTTAGCGCTATAGGATCAAACAAATCTCTACAATACAGGATGTCCTCCATCCGCGGCTTCCATATCGCATAATTAGAAGCGTTTAACCGAATCATCGGCCCTGAAACTGATGTGGATTCCCCCATCATCTAGAAAATAATCTCTGTTTGAAAAACAGGATTTGCTGTGAAGTCCGGACTACTCAAATTAGCCGGAAAAGCACTTCGGATTGCCAAAATAAAAACTGCAAATTTTTGAAAGTTTATTTGCAAAATCTGACCGTACGGATGTGTCCGAAATATTTCAAATAGTTGGAAAGTACTATTGGATCACCCAAATCCGACCTCAAATGGCTTAGATGTAGCCAAAACAATTTTAACGGTTCAGATCGGCAGAATCTGGTGCGCCTGCGAAGCACCAGATTACTCCTCCGGTTATGCTGACGTCAGGCTGACGTCATCGGCTCAGTCAGCGGCTCGGTCAGCGGCTCAAACTCGGTCAACGCAGCTCCGGCTCGAGCGGCTCGGTGCGCGCGCGTGCGGCGCGTGTCGCGCGTGAACTCACGCGTCTTCTTCCTTCGTCCGCGCGTGGGGCGCGTGGGTGAGAGTGGGATCACGCGCCGTCTGCCTGATCGGCGCGTGGTGGCGCGTGGCGAGACTGGGACTCACGCGCCAACTTCCAGGGGCGCGTGAGAGCGCGTCCAGCCTCCGTTGGGTGTGTGCTTTATGTTTCTGGACTCCTCTCGTCGAGTCCTTGCTTCTGGTATGCTCAAAATCTGATTTCGAGCAATACGATTTCTGGGCAGTTTCGAAACAACGCTCTGTTTTTCCGAAAAACGTACAACTTGGCTCTGATACCACTTTGTTAGGATCAAACACACCCAGAGAATTATCTCACACACACAGAGAACACAATATTTACGTGGTTCGGCCCAATGCCTACATCCACGGACAGAAATGAGAATTATCACTAAAATGGAGCAAAAATACAATTACAGAGGAGGAGATAAAACTCACTCAACTCACAGCTCTCACACTCAATTTCTGATCTCTCTTGGTTCTCACTCTCTCTCTGTCCATTTCAACTCTCCCCTCAACCTCTATTTATACACCAATGAGGGAGAGCCTCATTGGTCACCACCTACCTTCTTCCACTCTCTAATGGGGTTGGTAGAGTGGGAGAGCCACTTCCATTGGGTGGAGAAAGTGGGCTCTCCAATAGGAGCTCACATGGGATGAACCAACACATATGTCGGAGTAGAGTATTACAATTCTGGGGGCAAAAATTAGACCGGATCAACATCGAGGCCTAGGTTGGCCAGGCTTCCATGAGCAATCCTAGTCCATAAGTCCTACTAGTGCCACATGGCAGTGGTCAAAGTATGACCAAAGAAAAACTAGTAAATTTTAATTATACATAAGAGTGACTACAAAATACGTATAGTCTTGCTCCCTTAATATAAACACATCTAGATATAATAGAGCAGGACAAAAAAGAAATCTCTGTTTGGATCACTTATGAGCCAAGTTGTGTGTCACCGAGCTTGGGAGATTGCCTGCTCAAGATATTTCAAAGTTTTTTGATAATTCAGGAATCCCATAAACCAGAAATCAAAATTATCCACAGTAACTATTTCGATGTACTTCTGTGATGGTCTCTTCACATTTTGACTTTCACTGGCTCTCAATATCTTTTCTATCGGGATCAAAACCTTGTAACGAATTCTTACAAAATCACCAGTTGGAGAAGACAATTTGATGGATCTATCACTGCAGAAGGCAACCTTGTCAGTGGAGATGAAGAGGAGGCCTGCTATTGGACCAGCTGTTGTTGATAAATAGCATTGGGAAGCCTTTAGCAGCTTCTCTCCTTCTGTAACACTGAAATTGTGCTTGAAAATCTTCTCCAAACCACCTACTCGAATAATTTTAGCCCCCAAGCTTAGTTTCCCCTTCACAATTTTGGAGATCTTGAGCCCCAATCTCACTGAAATTTTCACAAAATGCAATAAGACTCACATTCACATAAAAGCATATCTCATGATCATCCTATGTTGGTTGACACTAACACAGCTATGGAAAAGAAAGCAATTTTATTTCGATGTTAAAATATATATATATATTTATTTCAAAACTTTCCAGTTGGTTTTTCTGCCATCTTTTTGGCAGTAAAAAAAATATAGATTTTAATATGGTATATATCAATAAACAGTAAATAATTTTCTACAAAAGAAATATTCATATTCTTGAATTGAGTTATTCTCAGACTTGTTTGAAGCAAGGAAACAGTTAGTTACCAAGCTCACGTATGCCATTTGCAAGGTTGTCTGCTTTTCCTCCAAGTTTGTTCACCCTATCTCCTTTTTCTGCACATTAGTCACAAATCAATTGCTAAATAGGGTCTCAATTTTAATCATTTAAAACTAGTAAGGTACGAAAAATAAAAAAATAAAAAAAAAATACTTACTATGTTTTAATTTTAGAGGTCCATTTGAAGAATAGAGAATATGGTATTGGCTAGCAGGTTCCTGTAAAAGTTTGATTGGATATGCCATTGATGATGAGCTTACTGGAATTCCAATAACATGTGCCAGAATCTGCTCCATATTTGATGAATTGCTCCAATTTGGTTCTGTTTTGTATTCCTTGGTTTTGGCGAGGAATGTTCTGTGATTGTCAGATGTATTGGCTGAGGATTAGTCTGATGGTTCTAGCAATGGATTCAGCAAATGCATATATATAGGGATAGAAAAGGCAAGTAAGTTGGTGGATCTTAAATTTTAGTTGCATGATGAGTCATCTTTGCCTCATCCACATGAATAAAAAAGCACACAAGTCTTAGTTAAAGGCATTCTATGAAGACAAATTGGTATTAAGAAGGTAATGGTGTGTCTGGTCTCTTTTAGAAAAGAGATATGCAGAAGGTCCAAGTCTTAGTCATCTTTGCCTCATCCACATGAGTTGGTTATTTTTGATTTTTAATTTTTTTGATATAAACAGCAAAATGGACAAGATATTTAAAGAACATAAATAATGAAATGACTGTATTAGAAGTATTAAAAACATTTAAAGTTTGAGTTGGTTGTACAGTTATGTCGGTTCAATGGTTTCTCAGAAATTCCATTAAAACTACCCAAAGTGAGCATTCAATATTGTTTTCATTTCTAAAGTAACTTTTAAACTTTTTTGTTTTTAATTTATTTCAACTTTTGTTTTCATGGAAAGAGTTGGGAAATCAAACTCTTTGTGCAATTGGTGAATGAAAGTAAAATAATGGGATTAGTTGGGTCAGCATTTTAATCATTCAATCCTACAAAGCAATGACACATTGGCTGCTTATGTCTTGCTGACTGTGTGTGAGCATTGTGAATTAAGCTTTTGAGCTGGCATTTAGCTTTATGATGCCATTCGTCTTTCTTAGTAATAGACCAAAGCAAAGGCTAGAAGGCATTGCTCACACACACACTGTGCCTTGATCTGCTGAGCAACAAAAAAAAAGTTCAGCCTTGCATGCTACTACTGTCGATAACAGATATAGGGCATTGATTTAGACTCCCTTAAAACACCCACCCCCACAACCCCGTCACACACATGGAGGTTGGGGATTGGGTGAGAAGGAAAAAAAAAAAGGAAAAGTTGACCAATCAAAACTAAAGGGGGTCAAGGGGGTCTCAACCTTTATTCACATGAGGAAACTTATGTTGTGCTGATGGGGCAATGATGTGGAGAATCTCTTTCCCACTCAAAATAAAATTGAGAATGGAATTGCATAATCTTATCATACATCAACACGTTTGTATGTAGCAGCATGCAAGGCCGGCTTTAGATTCAGTCACTTGGCCTTCGCATAAACATGTCAAAAAAGGGTAATTTAATCATCTTTGACCTACAGTTTTCTCCCTTACACCTCAACCTCAAAATTAATAAAAAAGAATGTTCATATTAATGATCTGAATCTAGAAGGAAAAAAGAAAAAAAATAAAAATAAAAATAAAAAAGAGCATTCTGAGTACTTGGGACAATCATATTGTCACTTTGTGAGAAGGTTCTCTTATCCTCTTTATTTTTAACACTTGACTTCCATTTTTCTAGGAGTTTTAGTTCTCTCCGTCCTTTCCATGATTTAAGACTTGAAACTATCACCAAAATGCAACTCCTATATGGTCAGTTAAGGGAAAAATTCTTGGGTGCAGATAGGGTACATGTGACACGTCACATGCTGCCTTCAACCAATCACAAATACCATAACTTCCTATATTGTCTCTCCATCACCCAACACATAAATGTCGCCCCCACTTTCTCAACCAATGAGAAAAGAAAAGGTACCACATGGCACCTATCCTATCTGCACTCAAAAATTTCTCCAGTTAAGGAGTTTAAATTCACACTATTCTAATTCAATGTTAATTATTAAAATACCCCCACATTCCTAAATCCAGTCAATCCCTAAAAACTTACGATTTTAGTTTCAATTTCACAAACCCTGAAAAGTAAAAATAATAACTAAATTTAAAATATATATATATTGTCAAGCGACAAAGTCATTTTTTTGAAGTGATGACATGGATTTCCATCAGATCACATATTATTTATTCATTGGTCATCATGAGATCACCATATAATTTCTCTTTCTTTCTTTCTTTCTTTCTTTTAATACATTTGTTGTGAGACTGAGACACATGAGCTGTCTGTTTCCCTTTCATTTGTTATAAGCATTAAAAGAGGAGGTGGCATGGTGTCAAAAAGCTAAAATGCCAGATCACATCACTCCCCACACATAGTCACCTACACAGTCAGCACAAGCAAAGTAGTATTTTCCCTTGTGTTGCTTAATAAAATCATTGAATGAATCAAATGTTTGGCCCAACTAATTGGATTATTCAATTTACCCCCATTAATTAAAAGTAATTGCAAAAGGGTGTATGTCTCAATTCCAGATTAAAACCACTAAATATTCCAATCCAACAATCTATTTTTAAAAAATTCCTTTTAGAGTTCATATCTGTGCCTTTATTCATGTTGATGAGGCATGGGTGACTCATGCAACTAAAAGTAAAAGATCCACCAACTAACTTTTCTATGTATACAAATACGTTGCAAAATACATGACCTCTGACAGTGGAAGAGAACAATCTAGACTCATTGCTTACTGCAGACAGCAAATCCAAGGGAGAAACAGACAGCTTTAAATTATAGTGATTCACCATCAAGTTTATGCGAAGAACCTGCAAATGGAACATGTTATTGGAATTCCAGTGAGCTCGGTAAATTATTCAGTTCAGCAGTCACCAAAAAGACTTCTATGCAATCCTGATAACCAATACCATATTCCCCCTCCTCCAAATGGACCTTTCAAATTCAAACAGAGTAAGTCTCTCTCTCTCTCTCCATTTCTCTCAGGAATAGAGGTCTATATCACTTGCTAGTTTTCTACGATTGAAATTAAGACAAGTTTTTGATAATTGATTTGTATGCATGCAGATAAAGAAGGTACAGTGATTGATAAGATGAACAAGTTCGGAGAAAACGCAAACCATCTTTGTGAGAATCCAGATATAAAAATAAAATAAATAATTAAATAATAATAATTTTATAATATCAAATATTTTGATGGTAAATTCTAAAGTATAAATTAAATATTTTTAGAGGGTATTTTAATTAATTTTAAACATATGATGTTAAAGATTAATAGTAATAATAATAAAACATTAATCTGTCTTATTTGTTCACCACAAAATAGCCGCACCCGTGACGGAGAAAGGAGTAAGGATCCTCTAGAGTTTTTGTTTTCTTAAAGTTTCCTAGAGTGGTACATTGTGTGGTTGAGATTTAATGACAAGTCACATCAATTTTTCAGCATTAAATCTCAACCACACGATACACCACATTAGAAAACTTTAGGAAAAAAACACTCTCAACCACACAATACACCACTTTAGAAAACTTTAGGAAAAAAACACTCTAGAGGATCCTTGGTCCGGAGAAAGAGGGAGAGAGAGGGAGAAAAGAGAGATTGGAGAGAAACTTTTAGTAACATTGGTGGGTCAACAACCCTAAGGTATTGTCCAATTTTATTATATTTTTACATTGTGATGGTTCATGTGTGTAATCTGCTTGTTGGGAAGGAATAGGAGAAACGAGTGTGTTGTTTGGGTGCCAAGCCAGTGGTTGGTGATGATAAATAATGGGTGCAATTCTTAGTCCAAAAAAATTCTGCACAGAAATACAAATTTAAAAATTAAGAAACCATGTTGTTGGCTACACATTTTGTACTAAGCCAGTGACAATTCGACGCGATATTTTTGGCCTTGCATTGATTGCTCCGATATACTAAGAGCACTATTAATTTCTTTAAAGTGCTGCAGAAAGTGACATGTTTGGATATAATTAATTGTAAATAATTATTTTGATTAGCAAATCAAGTAAAACCAGTTGGGTTTGAAACTTAGGATATATTAGTTAATATCTGGGGGGTTTTGGAATTTTTCTAATAGCGTGGACTGGGTTTTTAATTTTCAAAGTTAGCGAATAGATTGAGAAAACTTGTTTAAAACTCTGTTTTATCTTAAAGTTACTTTTAATTAAGTTTCGATCTGAACCCATGTCTTGGGTAATTTTAGACCTTGAAGAAGATGAGCTTAGGTATTATTTAAGAGTAACGGTGAGTAGGGTTGAGTTATGTTATTGCGCTTTAGTGTGGGGGTACTTAGTTTTTATTTTTTTTAGTATGTTTGAATTAGTAGTGATGTGTAGTTTTCATACTTGGTTCAGGTCACTAGTTGGACTGTCATACTCTATTCGAGGATTATATTATTTCGTTTTCAGGTGAGTAGTTGCATGCTACACATTTTTATAAATGTTCCCCTACCTTGAACTGTTAGAAAATTAAATTGTTGTTTCAGGACTAAACTGTTTTGATAAATTATTATAGTATCAATGGAATTAAATTATTTATGAAACATGTATAAACTTGGCATACTGTAAACAACTTGTTATGATCTCATGTTTATAATGGTGAACTACCATGTTTTGCGAAACTGAATTGTATTGATTATTGGAACCATCTGTATATAAAAGTCTAGGGAAATTATTCCACTGTGTGTGGTGACTCTGGCCACTAGGGAACATATCTGGGTTTGGTTGTGATGACTCTAGTGCTCACCGAAAAAAAAAGAAAAGACCTGGACTAGGCTAGATGACCTTCAATCGGGTCATCTTAGAGAAAATGCCTGGGTTGTCACCCCTAAGATGACTCTTGGTTCAATATTGGATCCAATGGGCTTACTGTCTTGAGAACTGTGTGGCGAGTTACTTGTTATTCTTGGTACTCAGAAAATTATTAATGATCATGTTGTAATCTGTTTTAAGTGGAAAATGTCATATGTTATGTTCTTGAGAGACGTGAGTATTTTAATAGTTGAACTGTGGAACCTTCTTTTTGAAATAGATTGTCTTTAACAAAACTGTATGCCAATCTAATTTCTGTGATATATATCTTATTTTGGAAGTGCACCCTGTTTTTCAAAATTATATTTACTATCCATGCTTCTACTCATTGAGCCATTAGCTGACTTAGTTGTTTATCATTTCCAGGTGATAGAAGGACTTAAAGTGGACTCGTGGCGTAGCGGGGACTCAATTGCATGGACCTCTAGGACATTCATTATTTTGTTTTAGCTTGTTATATCGGTTTTGTGCATACATTGTGGTTGGGTTTTATTTAGAATTATTTTATTTTGTGAGCGATTTGTATTCCATTTAGTATATATTTTTGAAAGTTGGTTATCGTTGGTTTTGCCATTTATACTTGTGACATGTCACTGGATTGGGTTTTGATTTATTTATATCTGAACTATCGTTATATTTATTCTTTGTGATTTTGGGTTTGTGTTTAGACTTACGTGTGCCTTGGGCTAAGTCCCTGTGGGCCACGACCAGTCATGCCTGAATTTGGAATGTGACAATCTTGCAAATGGCATTCAAGATCACGGTAACTATTTCTCAATTCAATTGAGTATGAGACTAATTAATCAAAGTTTTAAGAACTCGTATCCAACTAACACTTGTATCCAACATTTGAATTTTGATTTTGTTTCCTCCATTGTCACAGCCAAAACTGTAAAATTCCAAATACACATCTTCTACTTTAAACAACATAGTAAACTTTGGCCTTGTATCATGTTTTAATTTTTTCTTTTTCTTTTACAAAATTGCAATGAGATTAGGGCCCAACATCTAGGAAACAGTGAAAGGGAAGTTGAGATTGACCATGAAAATTCTTCAAGTTGGGGGGATGGAGAAGATCTTCAAGCAGAATTTTAACATTAGAGAAGAAGAGAAGTTTCTCAAGGCTTCCCAATGCTATTTGTCAACAACAGCCGGTCCTTTAGCAAGCCTCCTCTTTATCTCAACCGACAAGGTTGCCTTCTGTAGTGAGAGAGCAATCAAATTGTCATCTCCGAATGGGCAGCCAGTTCGAATCCATAACAATGTAAGTTAATAACCATATCTGAATTCATATTCATTCTTGTTAAAATCTTAAATAATAGCTAAGTAATGTGAATCACATGCAGGTCGTGATCCTACTAGTAAAGATAAAGAGAGCCAATGAAAGCCAAAACACGAAGAGACCATCGCGGAAGTACATAGAAATAGATACTGTGGACAATTTTGATTTCTGGTTCATGGGATTCCTGAATTATCGCAGAACCTTCAAATATCTTCAAGGCACTCTCTCAGTCTCAGCTCAATACTTACAACTTGATCAGAAGTGATTGAACAGATGTATTCGTTAGATGTGTATATGAATTAGGAGAAGAAAGTTGTATAATCACATTCTAACAAATTTTTACTTAGGCTTTTGCTTCAATAGAAAGCAATTTCTCATCAGTAAATGAGTCATTGGTTCTATTTGTTACATCCTAGCATTATATGTAAAGAATGACAGGTGGAAAAAGGAAACCAGCAAATTGCCGAAATCAATAATTTGAGAGCAGTACAAAATTCATAACAAAGGGTCAGCGGTTTTGTTCTGTGAGATTTAGTTATTGCAAATAATTTTGGCTACTTGTCTATAGAAGCAAGAATTTTCTTAGGCTGTGTGTTGGGTCTTGGATTAAGCAAGAATTTGAGGAGGGAAAAAATACAAAGGAAGGGAAATACGATATTTTCTGTCTACAAATCACTCCTCAATTTCAAGATGAATATCACTAAAATTGATATTTAACTCTCTTTCAATTTCTGCCCCTCATTTTTCAGCTTCTCTTGTGTTTTTCACTGATGTTCCTCTCACAGCAATTCTGATTGTACTTTCAAAGAGTAATAACAAGGTTTTCCATTGCCTGCCCATTTGGTGACAGAACTTTTCCAGTTATTGCCATCATCCTTCTATTCATGCTTGTTTGGGCAGACATAGCCTTGGGATTGGACTAATAATCCAGCAAAATGCATAATCCAATGTTGGGCTAAGAAAATTACAGTCTAGATTAATAGTCCATCCGGACATAGGATAGGATGCATAATCCAAAGGGATTGATAACTTTCCCTTTCCAAATCCCTATCCAAATCCATGATCTAAACATAGCCTAAGACTAACAGACCTAGGAATGTTAATCTCATCTAATTCAGTCCGTCCAAACAAACATGACAACAAGTGTTAATACTTGTGATTGTCAGCCAAATCAAAAGCCGACCTTCATTTGCTTTGACCTTCGGCTGTATATATCTTGTCAGAATCAAATTATCTGTACATTTCCGTTGTGAGGGAAAACAAAGTTAGTTAAAATGGACTCAGTACTATTGAAATCAATTAAGTGTTACTTAATTAGTGAGGAAAAGTGACTACTCCAAAAGTCACAAACTGATAGGATCAAACCACCCAAATGCTTTATATCTGGACTACAATCCTCATTTTTGGCATTCTTTTTTTATCTTATCCTGAGGTGGAAGTTATTGGATAATAGGGCAGGGCAGGGCAGATTAAAGAAAGATGATTCAACACTTTTCAATGGTCCATCTCAACATTTTTGCATGTACGAATCTAAAGCCGGCCTTACATGCAAACATGTTGAGATGGACCATTGAAAAGTGTTGAATCATCTTTATTTAATCTGCCCTGCCCTGCCCTATTATCCAATAACTTCCACCTCAGGATAAGATAAAAAAAGAATGCCAAAAATGAGGATTGTAGTCCAGATATAAAGCATTTGGGTGGTTTGATCCTATCAGTTTGTGACTTTTGGAGTAGTCACTTTTCCTCACTAATTAAGTAACACTTAATTGATTTCAATAGTACTGAGTCCATTTTAACTAACTTTGTTTTCCCTCACAACGGAAATGTACAGATAATTTGATTCTGTGGTTCAGTCAAGCTGAAGTATAAATATATTTTTTTTAATTATTATTTAGAATGATGAATAATGCTTTGGAATTCTAATTTGGTTTTACCCGTCATGGTGAACAGATCAAGGCACCAATTATTAAGCCTATACGAAGAAGGGAGGTCTAATTGAACGGTTTAACCAAAGACTTTCTATAGTGTTGTTAGTAAACTAGCTGTATTTTGCAGGATATCCAAGTCCCTTTCCTAAGATTAATTGGGTATTTAAATTCTCAAAGAAAGTCTTACATTTCTAAATAGAGACAACTGCTGAAAACTAATGATCTCAATTTTGGTATGTTGAGCCAATCTCTCATACATGACAGACGCATTGTCCACTTATAATCATCAAGATGATATCACTGCATAATTTGTACTGTATCCTTCATAATGCTGGTTTGGTTTACTTCACAAGTTTTGTGTGTGTGTGAGCAATGCCTTTTAGTCTTTGGTTTGTTGGTTTGTTCTATCACTAAGAGAGAGAAATGGTGTCAGAAAGCTAAAATGCCAGCTCAAAAAGATTAATTCACATGCTCACACACTGTCTAAGCAGCCAATGTGTCATTGCTTTGTAGGATTGAAATGCTGGCCCAAGTAATCCTATAATTTTACTTTCATCCACCAATTGCACAAAGAGTTTGATTTCCCTCCCAATTCTTGAAAACAAATGCTGAAAGAGATTTTTTCAATTAAATATAAAAAATAAAATTTTAAAAGTTACTTTACAAATGAAAAAATATTGCATGCTAGCTTTGGAAGTTTTAATGGAATTTCTTGGAAACCGTTGAACCGATTTAATTGTAAAAACTAACTAGAATTTTAAGTAACAAATTTATTTATCACTTCTCTTAAATTTTGAAAAAAATAGAATAAAATAATTTAATGTTTGGTGTCTAATAAAATGTCATTGGTCATGCTAATATTACTTAATTATAATATTGTCAATTTACTATTTAATTATTTTCTTTGAATAACTTGATGATCATTTTTGTGAAATCTTCACTATATAAAACTTGGTCCTTTCTGCAGCAAAATCTCCTTCTAGAAGAAACCAGACACATCATCACCTGTCCAACATCAATCTTCTCTAAAGAATGTCTATAGAGCACTTGTGTTTTTTATTCATGTGGATGAGGCATACATGACTCATCCAACTAAAAATTTCAAGATCCACTAACTTACTTACTGATGATACTGAGGGTTTCTAAGTAATGGGTCGGGCTGATCCAGGCCTCCCACACGGTTGTCCGATTGCTGGCCCACTGAGAAACCTGCACAAGAGTTCAACGGGGAATAGGAGTCCCCCAGCGAACCCTCCGACGAGCAAGTTAGAGAAGAGATATCAACGGAGTATAGAGATAGGATGGTGATAAAGAACTTAACCTTCTCTTTGTCTTAGAAACCTGCTTATATCCTTTGTTCATCATTTTCTTGTCCATTCCAACCTGTCATGTTGGCCGAAAGTCTATGTTCTAGCCTGCCTTGTTCATGGTGAGGCTGTTCTGTTCCGTCGTGAAGGGGTTATCGCATTAAATGCTGCAGGGAACTTTATTAATGGCTGATGTGTGGCATAATAACTCTGTAGGATCTTTGTCTGCTTACGTGGCTGGTTTTTTTCTTGACACGTATTTAGATGTCATTGGTCCTTGGTGCAACGTTGGGCTCCAGCAACGTTTGGCTTTGGTGTTTGAATTATGTATTGGGCTCTAAGTGGTGGGCCAAAAGCCCCTATAGGCCCACCTATGTCAGTAGTCCCTCATTCCCAAGTGCAGCTTTAGTCCAACGAAGGGAATAAGGAAGAAGGCAGGGGTTGTGAGACGTCAACGGAGAGAGGACCGACTGGGAGGTGGGCCGACCGCAAAGGGTGATCGAGTGAGAGGGCCGACTGCAAGGAGGGCCGACCGCGGAGGGTGACCGAGTGAGACGATCGACTACGAGGAGGGCCGACTGCGGAGGGTGACCGAGTGGGAAGGGAAAATGGCAGCGCGCGAGGCTCGAGGCGCTTCGTGGCACGTGATGATGTGAAGTGGAATAAACAGGGAAGGGGAAGAGAACAGTGGATTGTGGTCGTACACGTGGCACAATCTCGTAACAAGGGTAGTGAACAAGAGATGAAGGGATGGACTAATATAGGGCGTTGAAGAGGCGAGGGCAAAAATTTTCAAATTGGCGGAATTTAATCTTGACCCTTGGAATATAGGCAAACCGTGGGCATTTGGAGTTATTTTTTTTACCTACCTTTTTGCAAAAAACCAACACGTCCCAGAAGTGAACTCATTTGTTTCGTGTGATACACCTCTGCAACACTTTGCAAACTTCCTTGTGCCAACGTCCGAAGCTATACGCTGACACATAGGAGGGATGGCG